ACATTGTCAATACGCAACCCAGCGGGACTACAGGCGAGCACTGGGTGGCATTTTTTTGCACTAAACCCGGCTCTATAGAGGCATTCGACTCCTTTGGACGTAATCCTACAGAGTATTCAGTACATATCAAGCAGTGGATAGCAAAAGATTACATAATAATGTCAAACACAATGCGGCAGAGTATAGATTCTACAGTCTGTGGTCAATACTGTATGTTTTACATACTACTTCGGTGTCGAGGATATTCATACGAAGATGTTATGTCCGCGCTAACCAAGCATAAAGGATTGAACGACAAATTTGTATGCAAATTTATAAACAAATACTTTCACCTGCGCACAGTGTTACGCGACGACAGTTTCATACGACAAATGCTAAAACATGGATAAACAACAAAAGATAGCTACAACGATTTTCTGGGGCTTACTTGTTGTCGTGTTGATTGTTTTCAATGTCCTGGAAATTTGTAATCACGTCTCTCAAAATTCCAACTTGACACAGTCCAAACAAATAACTCAGCATGTTCTAGATATAATGCTGAGCGACTCTGAAGCTCTTCATAACGGCACGTTATTTGGCCACTCACCGGCAGGGCCGGTGAGTGACCAAATAACCCCGCCGCCGCCGCCTCTAAAGAAAGCAATAATTCCCAACGCTGTCAGCTTGAACACTAGTCTTTCAAGTTGAAGGAGTTAGAAATAATGGCTTTTTTTTCAGCCTTTTTTTGCAACAGAAATTACCGTTTCTTAAAATAAACAAACAGAACTAAAAACAAACAAGAACACTGCTCTAGTTTCGCTTTGTTCCAAAAGGCAAGGTAGTGAAGTCCGGAAAAAGCAAGCGCTTATCGTAAACCAACTGTAGTTTTTTAAACAACTATACACTGCTAATCTCTTGTGTTTTTGCGTTGCGCCGTATGAAATCCGGGTACAGGACTTGAACGTGCGGATCTATCCCATCCAGGATCCGTTTCAGTTGGTCGAAATCCAATGCTCGGCCGGATCGTTTATAGGTTTGTGTTACTTCATCCCAGTCCAAAATATTTTCCGAAAATCCGTTTTGGGTCATACCTTTGACCTTCAGTTCAGTTCGCCCGGTGTCGGTTTCGTAACTGTAAACCTTTGGCCCGCAGGAGACAAACTTCACAATGTGGCTTTCCCCCCGCTTCTAGCTGATTGTCCCAGTCGCCGAGAACACTGCCAGTTTCAGGAATCCAGTCACCTGGACCATGAACAAAAATTACAGAATCGGTATCGTAGTACAATAAGCGCTCACCCAATTTTTCCATGAGAGAAAGCAAGATTAGTCTTGCGTAAGCGGTAGTAAACGCCGCCAATGCCACATTGGTAGTATTGTTACCCTCGTTGTAGGCGTCGGCCTTTGCGTGAGTCACCATTAGACACTCGTCATTCACTGCAAATACATCGTGAATTTCGATAGCCTTAGAGCGACACAAATCCAGATATCTTTTGGGTGTGTGCACAAACTCGGTGCTGCATTCATCGTCTTTCTGTCCGCTTTTACCCCACAATGAATTCGCAGCAACTTTGGCTGCCGTTTTTTTTTCCAGCATCAAAGCTCATGGCTTCTGGATCCAGGTCAATTCCTTCACGTTCTTTAACAAGTTGAATGAACGCAGCCCGTTTTTCCGCTGTATCACACCAGTTTGGCCAACCACTGGCTTCCATTTTCACTTTGAGAAACAGATTCATGTATTTGGCATACAATCCAGCTTCTTTGGTGTGCCAGTGCCAAACTTCATATACTGTGACAATTGTATATCCGACATCAAGAGCATGATGGAGTTCGGGAGTAACCCAAACCCCTTCAAGGCATCGTTCCTCGTCACTATGTTGACAAAATGTTGTGGCTTTGACAGCTGTACAAGCTGGACATAATGCAAAAACCAATTTGCCCTTGACTGTGCATGGCAAAACTGGGTATAGACACTCATTAGGAGGTAAAACTTTACAGTAGACCAACCCATAATACTGCCGAATGTCGAGAAAATTCGAGATAATAATTTCAGGATGGCCTATGGGATATTCTTTGTTTTTATTAACAAAAGGATATAAGCTTACAACGTCAAAATGCAGGATTTTTTCTTCACCTTGCGTAACGTAGTACAAGCGGCTGGCATTGGTGCGACCACCTTTGAATGCGTCGCGTGGGTTTAAAGGTTCACGAAAATTATGTTCCGACAAAAACTGCGTGATGAGAGGATCCATTCTCTGTTGAGTCCACTGACATGACCACATCACAGTAACACTGAAACCTAAACTTTGAATATATCGGACGCGTTCCTCGAATTCCTCGAAGGCTTGACTCATCTTCTTTTTTGGAGTATGGAACAAGGTCGTCGGGTTCTGTACAGCTGGGGTGTCCATGAAAACGCAACCATTGTACTCATACACTGTTTTCGTTAAAGCATCCATTCCATCGACGAAATATCGACCTAACCGGACTTCTTTTCCATTTCGACCATGCTGGATTCGACCCGTACAGCTTTTATTCAAGTACTCCAACCACTGCGTTGCTTGAATACTAGTGCGACGATTCTGGTGAGGTCCGTGCGTTGAAAGGACAGCAATCTTGTCGGGAGCCAAAAGAAATGTGCGGAAAAAGCGGTAGCAGGCGGCCGGCATCGTAACACTATCCAGCGGGTTGAGTGAAGTAAGACTCTGAAAATCCTGGATGAATTTTAGTGCACAACAACGTAACACAGTGACATCGTTGGAGCAGTAGGTTATTATTTGTTCGCGAAAATCGAAAACGTTGTTGGCTACTTCCTTGGCTTGGGCATGCCATTTCAAAACTCTTGTCGCTCAGCGTATTTCATTCCGTCTATCATGTACATTTCCGGTGGCGGCCACGCATGAATCTTATCCCAATTCCCAGGTTGGTTGAATTTGTGGGGGAAATCGCCTTTTTTAATTTCCAAGGAAAGGCCGACAGCTTTTGGCATATTGGACAACTTCATTGGTAAAAAGTTCAAGGTGTCACGTGATCGAATCTTTAACGACCGATACCGCAGCTCCAGCAACTGACTTCCTCGTTTAATTACCTCTATACCTTTCAGCTTATTGTCAAGCAAATGCTTCAGAACAAAGTGACCGTCGTATCCTCTAAAGTTGTGTGCCACAATCGTATAGCCGCGATGCTGTTCAGAGAACAACCATTCCCCAAATTCAGTCCCCACACTCGTGGTCATAGGCTGACCATCCTTGGGAAAACGGAATTCAGTTCCGTCAGCGTACTGCGCAACGACACAAGCGGGTTGGTGTCCCAAAATAGGATCATTATAGGTCTCATAATCGAAAAATATGTACCGAAGCGTATCAGAAGCTTTCGGTTTTGGTAAGGTTTTTAAATAACATTTATGACTGTCTTGCTGGTAATAACCGTTGCATGTTCTGCAGTACATCTCACCACACTGATGTACCGCATCCTTCTTTCGATTCAACAAGGACACAAAAACACCACACAACTGACAAACAAACAACCGCGAGCAATACGTCAAACCGTTTTTTCTAATCTCCTTATGTATATCAAAACAATTTTGGTTATTAAAGCTGCGACCACAATCATCACACCGCACTTGCAATGTCGCAACACAGTCACTACTGTATCGATAACACAGTCTACACTTACCGGAGCATCTGTGCCGCTCCTTGCCTGAATATGGACGATCGCACTCTTCGCAATAGTAACCGGAACAGTGAAATCCTCCAGGTGTTGTAATCAAGCTGAAGTGCTCGTTCTCTAACAGCAAATAAATACATTGCATGGCCGATGTTTTACGTTCCGGAACGCGCGAGATAACCATATTGCCATGATCAGCTGATATAACTTTAATCTGGAACTCCGGAAAGGCGTTTTCTTGCATGACAACTAGATCGTCCAAATCGCACTGATGGTCAAACGGTAAATCGCACTCCAGTAAAATTTTTCTAGCTTCATGCTCGAGTTTACGCTTCCGGTCTGACCTAATCAAGTTTTTCCAACGATGAACGTCTTTACCAGAAGTATCGTGCGTAAGTCGAAACTTACCAAGGTACAGAGCAGCAGGTAAACACAGATCATGTTCTACATTAACGGTAACGATTGATTTTTGAAACCGACGATTATCGCGAGCAATGTGTTGATGCTTTCGTGACCAGTTTCCACCACTAGGCATTGGGGTGCGAAAAATACGAATAGTAAAAGACTCATCGACAATCAGCTTTTTCTGGGAGTTTGACAGCTCTATACGATGTAAGAAGCTCTGTATATTGAAATCTGACAATTTGCGCATAGTCAGGTAGATAGCCCGTTCGAGCTCTGATGAATCGAGAGACACAACAACACGATCAGAATCTTGAAAATCTTCGAAACAAAGATCCATTACAACACGCAAAATTTCCGGCATAATTGTCATTGTTTCATCCCTCGAAAAGATCCTAGGTAAAGGGGCTATTTCAACACTATACCGATGTTCCGTGCTATTAAACTTTGTAATACTACGCTCACTCTGCTTCACCAACTTGAACAGACCCGATAGGTCTGGAAGGGAATTATCGACAGACATTTTAGATGGACTGATTGTAGAAGCTCATTCGGGAAGCCTTTTTATACAAAATTCAGCGCTTTGATTCTGTACAAAACACCTGCTTGGAATAGGTGAATTTTGGCCCCGCCTTTATTTTTATTAGCTCTCATTGGTTAAAAACAGCTTTGTAGCTCCGCCTTTTACCGTTTACAAGTAACTTGATTGGTTAGTGAAAACGTTTGCAGGCAGAAACAGAATTATCACATTAGTTAAACAAAATAATTTATAAGAAAATCGCACTTCCCCGTTCCGATTGGTCAATAAATATCTCAATCTCTCCGCCTTCTATGAACTTTTAATTACTCCGATTGGTTACAAATTGAAAAATAGGCTGTACATCGACCCCAATATTTGAGCAAAAACAAAGTAATTACACACACTAGAAAGAAACAGCAATAACACACGCAAAAATCTAGTCGCATCGCGGTCGCTTGTATTCGGGAACGTACGCATCCGGATCATCGTCGTCTTCATCATGCTCGCGTTTGTAACCGACCTCCCTGGCCTCATACTCTTTGTACGGGTTCCCGTAATCACCATCTTCTTCATCCTCCTCTTCTTCATTGCTGATATCGCTGTGATTCAAACCTCCCCCATCCGACCCAAGCAACGAGTCAGCATCGTCTTCTGCCTCTGAATCCCCCTCTTCAGAATCCGACTGCGAACCCAGATCATCGTCGTCATCCTCTTCATCATCATCGTCAGACTGCAAGTCCGATTCTTCATCGCCTTCCGAAAAGTAGTCGGAGTCGGGAGGCAACTCTGGGGAACCTTCATCACGGCGCGCTGCCTCAATCATCTCGACCCAGTAACAGTCATTCTACAAAAACAAAGTATAATCGGCAAATCACGTAAGGTAAATATGGAAGAAAATGAAGGAATAAGAACTAGAATAAATAGTTTTTTGTGCAAACAACTATTTAGAGTTTAACAAATTCTTAGAAAAATCAGCACAAGAACTATCTTTGCGAAGTGAAAATCAGACAAATATTAAGTTCAAAATTAAATACCTGAGCGTAGTCCAAGTACTCCATTAGTTCAGCGAACTCTTCCGCTTCCATATCGTAGTAAAAGTAAGCCAAAATAAGGAAGTATTTCGCCAGGACAACCGTCTTATTGAAATCCGACGTGGAATCCACTCTTTGATCAGGCGTCATGTCGTCCCAGTACTCACACAGACCATATACCATGTCGTCGCTGTACGACTCCACATCGAACAGCCTGTTGAACCATCCAGGGCGCTGCGCTACTTGCACCCAATAAGTTTCGTTCTAAAAAATTAAAGTTTTGATTTAGTAACATGCCAAGACGATCCCTAATGTAATTTTTATGACAGTAATATTACAAAAAACGATATTCTAATGATAAAAATATTACTCACTTTAGATGATGATTCTGAACAATAATCAAAGCAATGAACTATTTATTATTGATGAACTAGTGTTTTCAATATGTAAGTAGCTTTTGGTTATTAATACCTGAATTATCATTAAAATACTGGTTATTTGCTGATTTAAATTTTAATTACCTGGACATAATCCAGATTCTCAAAATGCTGCAGGAATTCCTCCGCAGACATCTCCAAGTAAAAATGGGCGATAATGAGCAAGTACTTGGCGGCGATAACGCGGTTTCGGATTCCGCGAGCATTACGAACACGTTCAACTGGAGAAAAGTTGTCCCAGTCCTCGCACAACGAGTTCACCAAAACTAAAAAACGGGAATAAAAATAAGCTTGCTGTGAAACATTTCTGTAGATTAGCTTCGGTAACACTTTTAGTGGTTTGTTTAAAATATGAAATTCTGCTGTATATCATGTCAGGTAAACACATCGAAAATGCTCTTGAAAAATATCATGTAGAAAATATAACTTCAACTTAATTTCAAAATTAAAATTTATTAACAAGTAACTTTAAAATGCAAAAAAAATTCGGTTAAAATACTTGCAAGAAATTAAACTTTTAATAAAAATAAAACGGGAATATTTGACCTTACATCCTGAAGCAGTTTTTTGTTTCTTTTGTTCATAGTTCTGGTTGAGTTGACCGCAATTTTATGAACTAGGCCATTCAATAAAAAGAATTCAAGGTCTAAGATCCGGTTTCATTACGGAAATGGGTTAATGGCCTGGTTCTGAAAACTGCGGTCACCGTAACCGGAACCTCAAACAAAGTAATCGCAAAACTGCTACAGGATGTGAAGTCAGATTATGTAACTTTATTTTTCCTTCGTTTTGTGTAAGTATTATGCTGTGGTTTTGTTAACAAGCCGATTGAATTGGGTTACAACCAAATTTTTTGCATAGAAAATTCTAACTGCAAACCGAAGTAAGACCGATCTGTCTCTATAAAAATAAATAATTGCCATTTACTGGAAATGGGAAAACAAAGAATTTCAAGCCAACATAAGCCTCATACAAAAGCGTACGAAGTGGCTCACTGCCATAATTATTATGGGTCGTATTAAATCGTACAAGTACCTACTTAAATTAGCGTACAAAGCAATGCAGTGGCTATAAGCCTATAACATAGCGTATCTTTAGTTTTTTAATTTTGTTTGGCATCTCCCTGTTGATCATAGCAGTTGAAAATATTTTTTTAATAATACCCTATTGTTACTCTGTCTTCCTACAAAATATGAAAATTTTCTTAGAGGGGAGCCGGTGACGCGTCCCTGGTAAGTACTAACCCTACACAAACACCGTAAATCCACATCGGTAAAAACTAAATAATAATAAATAAGAATTTTGACGTGCATCATCTATGTCTGATTCATGTAACGCGTAAACGATGTGGCGTGGTGCGTCGTGTTATGGAGGTTGACGTTACGTGATTCTTTGTGGTCTTTATGCGCCCATAATAATATTTAAGATTCCATTCCACTGCTTCAAAATTGTTATTCATCACTAAATAATAATTGCGCAAGCCATAACGAAATTCCCAATCTGTCGAGTTCGTCAGCTCGATCCACTGAATCAAACTTCTACCTCTACGTATATCATTCGATAGTCCTTAGTGGGTAGATTTGCCATCACAAGTCAGTTTCTAGAGAAAAACATAGGTTTGAAGGAAACTTAAAAAAACTAAGACAGAAAGCCAATAGGAAAAGTTGAGAATTCACCACTGCAAAACTGACCACCCCAACCACTGTCTCGACTGCTGAAACGCGTTTTGGCCAACTTTGCTGATGAGCGGGGGCGGGGACAGCTCTTGAATCAGGACCATGTACTGTTCCATAGTCTTGAATTAATAAATTTTTAATCGAAAATGGCTTCAGAAAAAGCAGAATTTTGGAAAGATGACCTTATGAAGTCTTCGAGTACGGAACTTTTCTCAAGGAGTCGTCGTTCGGAGTACGTTTAAAGTTGTAACTTTTCCACGGGCGCTTGACATTGGTACTGATATGTCATTGAAAGCAAAAATTATCATGTATAAAGTAGTGTGTACGACTTGCGAGTACCGTTGGGAGTTGGGAGTCACAAGTTGGGAGTACCGTTTCCGTAGAAAATGATCTCTGAAAAAAGTGGTACTGCATGTTTAGGGTTGATTTAAAGGACAGCAAGCCGGCAGCTATCCCACATGAGCTTAGTTGATGCGCATTAACTGCAGCAGAGCCTTACAGCGTAGTAAACAATAACTTTTTTGATTGATTTAGGTGATTGGTTAGCGGTCGTTAGGCACGTCATCCAAGGTGGAATGTTTCATTGCTGAGAACGAGAGATTTTACGAAACTCGAAACAATTTTGTCAGTTTTTCATAGAAGGCAGAGCCGAGCTGCGGCGCGAGCGGAGCTCGCGGAGCAGCAAGCGAGGCAGTTTGCTTTACATTTCCGGCTTAACAAGTGATGAAGAAAATATTACAGTACTATTTAGTTGACCCAGCGCAAATTGCGCGGAATAAATAAGCAATAAAAAATTAATTGAAAAAATAAATGTTCGCAACTAATTCTATAGAACTAAGTAGTTTATGAGAGAGTTCTAGAACTATAATTTTACTGTAATCAATAAACGTCTGTGGGAAAGGCTCTGGGAACTCCGGTTATAGACTATAGTGGACATGACCGCTTCAAATGGAATATAATATTAGTGAAATTTTTAAACTTTCTTCTCGGAAATAGGCCGTCTTATTGTATTTCAGCTCCAGAACGCACCCTTCGCAAGTTCGCATCATAACAGTGAATCGTCATCATTCAAAATTTTCGCCCAGTTCCAAAACCATGGTTGTAATTTTGATACAACGTACAGTAGTCTACCTTCTCAATTTTACGATCGCGAGCGTCCTTATGTCCCGAATAAAACACCCGTTTGACAATTAATTTATCAGCAACGCTTCCGATATTCAAGTGCTTTATACAGTATTCAAAATGGAATTAATGATAAATTACAAAAGATAAATAGTTATCTTAAAAAATTGTCCTATTGCTTTCATCAATGACAATCAGTATTTCCAAAACTTGAGGATAACGGTACAGTGAAATTAGAAACAGCGCGATGGTAAAAATACGCCGGGAACATAAGTTGCACTTAAATTAAACAGCCACTATTTGCAACTAGGCGAAAAATTTGAATGATTATTGTTATTTACTGCTATGATGCGGAGGATTCGTTCTGGAACTGAACTGAAAGCCGATCCGGTTTCCGGGAAGAAAATTCGAAAAATTCATATAGTCATGTGACTCATGTCTGAAGTTGTTCTGGCTGTCGACGGGATGAGAAAAGAACCAGTAGTACCGGCATATATACTACCTTTTACTATCATACTATCATTAATTCTAAAGCGGTCATTGTTGACTGTATTCTATAACCGAAGTCTTTGCCCACGATAATAGAAAATTGCACTTCCATAATTTGCTAACAAAACTACTTAGATCTATGGAAATGGCCGAAAACAATTATTTTTCTGCACTTGAATTATTCTCCTATTTATTCCGCGCAATTTGCGCGGGGTCTGCTAGTTTAAAGAAATCCTATAGATTTTAGAAAGCAGTCTGGTCGTACCCGGCCTATCAGCTGTGCCTGTAACTGATAATTATCTGTATAATAACTAACTGACCCCGCGCAAATTGCGTGGGATATTTGCTTCCTTACCTATTAATGATGTTGGAAATTATTTCGTAGTCCATTTCCATATTTCGTGATCAGTGAATGTCACTGAACAGTGAACACATAATTTTGAAACTGCTTACCGTTGACCCGCGTTCAAGATCTGACTCTGACCAGTGATCACTAAAACCGCAAAGCTGAACACAAGATAGACAAGATAAAAATAGAAGGCAGATTCTTCTATTACAAATCAGTATCTAGCTTCTATTCAGCTAGACTACGGTTCAGCTAGACTACACTCTTCCCTGATTCTGACCACTCGAACTCTACAGTAGCTCTGACCACTCAAACGCTGCCAGGCTGCAGCTGACCATGAGATCAGGGCTGAGACACTCGGCTAAAAGCCGAATAGCTAGAACACTGAGTAAACAAAAGTCTATGGAAATCGACAGAAATGGGCGTATCCTGAAAGATTTGAAGACTTATCGAGTGCAGAACTTCCGCGCATTTTTCGATAACGCAGTACTGGAATTGCAGAGAGAGAGAGAACAAAATTTAATAAACAACCAAATCTTTCACATGAAAATCGAGTGGTTTAATAACAAGCCCCCACACTGCGAAAACAGTATATATGTATGAACTACTGTAAAAAACCATTCCCAGCAAACGTTAAATGTCAACAGACGATCACCATGAGCATATTTATATCTAAATTGTGGTACTTTAATCATTTTAATCACCATTTACTAAAACTAAATGCAGCGATATATTATTGAGTTCTGCTAGCTTGTAAGAGCATTAGAGCAAAGGCAGCAAGCGTGCGCTGTCTGGACGCTTTAGCTTTTTACCGACTGTGATGAGATGCAGCTACCTACTCTAGACATATAGCACCGGTAGTAAACAGAGAGAGCCGCGCGCTGCCCCCTGCGCTGTGCTTCATCCTTGCAGAGAAGCGTTTCTGCGCAGTGTACATTGGTGCCCCCTGCATCATTGCTAGACGTAATTGACAACGGGACAGTCGCTAATGAGGTGTGATTTCGGCACTATTGTGTCATTTGAGATGAGACGCTTCGCAAGGTTAAGCATATGTGTCTATGGGAAAAACACCAGTGCAGTCCACATTTCAACGCTTCTACTTGTTTCCTCAAAGTACAATCAAAGAGAAGTTATTCACCACAAGAATTACTACAAAACCAAAAAATAATCTTAAAAATTTAGCTATACCAGCAAAATGTCACTCTCGGTTTTAAGCAAAAGTAAACCCTGTCCCAAGTTATAGCTCTTACCATATACACGTAAGCAGGGCGGCGACTTCGCTGTACTTGCATGGCTTTCGATTAACTCTTGTACAGAACTTGTGAAGTGTGAGCGTCGTTTACTTGTTGTTACTCGATTGTGAAAAACGATTTATGACAAGTTTTTGGCAACGACTTACACTTACAGAGTATGTGTTATATATCAGCACTTTTCTACAATTTATTAGTACCCATTTTTTAACTATTATACAAAAATGAACTAATTTAGAAAAGTTTAAACGG